AAAAAAAAAAAAAAAAGGCCAGAAGCAAAGTACCTATGGTAGCACCAATTTTCCATAAATTGGGAGGGTAATTCCACGGCATCCCACTCTACTTTTCGTATTCCAGCAACCAAGCCCTCATCCTGCTTTGTTAGCATATGCTGAAGTGCATGACCAAATTCATGGAAGACAGTCTCAACCTACAAATACCGTTTCCATCCAGCAATCAAATCAAATATATGATAGCACAATTTAAGAATCAGAACAGTGAATATTTGCAGAACATTTATATTAGACCTAAAGCCCGATAGCCATCATACTTATAACATGGTACTGAAGAGTAAGTTCTTTCTTTTCCTGAACACAAGAAGTGCACCAGCTAGCCATAGCTTCTTTCCTAACATCACCATTCTCATCCTTCAAAAGCTCAACCACAACAAGAAGTGCACTGGAGGTCCTCAAAACAGCTAGAAAGTGCTCATAACCCAAGAAATACACAAAACATCAGCTGTTGCAGGCATTGCTTCATTATTGTCTCCCCTAAGGATTCCAAACAAGGGCAAACAATAGCATAGAGATGAAAGTTGCGTCCTAGTTCAAGCTATTTGTTTTTTTTTTCCATTAAAAATAATCGAATCAGGCTACACGATTCTCATTCTACTCCTAGTTCATGGAATTTTTTATTTTTTGGCACCACCAGGGGATGACGAGAACTATGATTCTCGGACTCAGGTGCCGGTGTTGGATACATATACGTATCTAGAAGTTGGATCCTTGTCACTTCTAAAATTAAGATATAGGGATACAGTTCAAAAGAATCCGAACTTTGGATACGGGTACATAATACGTCTTACAAAATATAATTTTAAATAATTGGATTATAATCAATTTAAACAATCGGATTATAATTTGAAATAAATTTAAATTCAAAGTCAAAAAAATTCTTTTCAAAAAAATTAAAGAAAAAAAAAATCAATTTTAATATCTTATATATTATTTAAAAAATATTATAGAAATAAATTTAAATTTAATACCCAAAAAAAATATAACACTAAATCATTTTAATTACAAAATAAAAAGTTCAGATTGATAAATATAAGAAATAAGAAATTTAATAAAAAAATAAACTCAAAATAAAAATTTAGTTCATCTTTTAGCTGATGTTTTCACTTACTAAAAAAAAAAAAGTTCCGAAAAAAATTCCAAAAAAAAAAATACCTGCTCACTTATCAAAACAAAATACCCAATTTTCCTTAAAACCCATTTATCCATAAGCCCAAAACCCTATTCTCATAATAACCTAGAATTTTAACATTCAATTTCCTAAAGCCCTAGCTAACTACAAGCCCACTAACCAACAAACCCAATAGCCGCCTCGTCTTCCCCAACTCTTTATCTTCTTTTTACATTCATCCACCATCTTTCTGTTCCTGCAAAACCCTAAAGTCAAAAAGCAGTCGTCTTCTCGTCTAGCTTCTTTCTGCATCCATATACCTTCCTTGACTCTTGCAAAACCGTAGACACAAATCCAAAAAGCAGTTGTCTTCTCCCTTTCTTCGACCTCAAAACAAAGGATCCGATCCATATCCCATATTAGTATTTGTGTCGTGTCACGTCAACACGAATACTTCTCCATTTTTGGAGAGTCCGAGCATCATAGGACGAGAGGAAGGAGACAAATTGAAATAAGGAAATCAAAATTATTCGAACTTTGAATAATCAGCCTCATGCTTACCTCACGAAACGTCATAAGGCTTGGCTTATCTCCTACAGGTGGCATTTGGTTGCACACCATGTGGGCAACAGGTAATCTAACAGAGGAACCATCTAGCGACAAGATGCGACTCCTTCCAACTACTTCATCCATCCACGCTCCTCCCTGTTTTTCCGATGGCCGAGAATAGGGATCAAAATAGAAGAAGGCGATTGGGCACCCCGAAGAGTCGCCGACGCGGTACAACTGTACATCACTGTTCCAAACCTAAGAAATGTTTTGACAGTTCTGTTAGCCAACAAATCATGCACCAAATCACCCACTCACCCACCAGAAAAAAATAGACAAAAGACAATGAGACCTTGAGGGTGAGAAGAAAGAAATGACGAAATATAAACTATAAAATGTTTTACCGGAGCAAAACCATCTGCTGGCTCAACATTAACCCCAAACAGCTTATTTGCAAGACTGAAAAGACCATCCATAACTTTAGGCAATGAAAAGTAAGGTCGCAGCTCTTCCTGTAGAATTTAGAAAGCGCAACAGACTTGGAGCTTGTTCATTATGGAAAATAGAACAGAAAATAGAATCTAACTGAACAAGTAAGAATGTAAGATAGTTTACAATATATAACAGTGTCTGATAGCAGAGAGATTCAAGCAAATCAATGACAGTGAGGTCTTTCTCCAACCCCAACATAAATACACCAAAAAATAGAGAACATAAATAAAGCAAATTCACCATATGAAAAAATACAACTTGAAATTGTGAAGCAATCCAAATTTGGTCAAATGTCCTATCCAACTATTACAAGTGTTTGGTGAAATATAGCATGAGAATAAACAATCTCCCTAAATGATACCCTTTTATACAAAATAGAATGTAAACGGTAAAGGAATGATACTTCAGTGGTTGAAAGGAAAAATAATATTAAATAAATATTTCGGCCAAGGCTACAAAAAAAGAAAAAGCAACACTCATGAAGCTACAAAAAACATGTAGTAGACCATTAGCAATTATTAAATCTAATAAGCTCAATCACAATTGAGATGATAAGGGCAAGGACGGGACAAGTAAAAAAGAGATACACAACCTCATTGATTTCATACTTCAATTCCCGAAGCCTCTCACTCCAAAAGCTGATATCCCAATGGTTCAAATTATCAGCTTCTGGAGAACCTTGGTTCGTCACAAAAGCTTTGAGGTCCTCCATATCTGTAAAGATTAAAACAGAGAATATCAACCAATTATCTTCCAAATAAATCTCTAAAAATCCATTCACTTTAAAAGAATTTTTTTAAGAAAATGGAATCAAGTTGGATCAGAATTTTTTTTTTTTGCTGGTGATCACATGATCCTTCTCGTCCTCATATTCATTACAGATAGAAACAAGATTTTTATCTTAATATGGTCTGTCAAACACTATTAAAAAATTCGAAACCCCATTTTAAATCGTTACCTTACCTTCTAGTTCTATTTACTGCTCAAATTGTGTTACCAACAAAACAACAACTGTAACATCAACATTCTTCAGTGGGATGTATATCTGATGCAGGACAAGGGAGAAAGCAGTAAGGAGTGGGGGTGGAGGGGGGAGGGGGAGAAACCAGAGAGAATGGGGAAGAAGCCAGAGAAGAAACAGAAATTCAGGGGAAAAGGGGTAAGAAGAAAACGATTGCTCCAAGCAAAGCCATTTCATTCATCATATTCATCCACTAACTCAACTACAATGAAAAAATTCAATAAATAGTAAAAACCTAACCTACTAGTGACGGGCTTGGGCCAACGCAATACTACAAACCAAATAATAATAAAAAAAAAAACATAATTAATGAAAAATTCCATAATATAAAAATGATGTCCACATCAATATCAATTTCCCATATTAAGATATTACAAAATGCTTTTACCTCTTTACTTTGATGAGTAAAACATTGAACCATTACTCGGCTAAAAACTACATTTTATGCTATTGTCACCACAGAATCAGTGTTCAATTGCCCTTTATTTTCAAACAAAAATGAATTCATCACGAAATTCAGTATAACACACTACCTTGAAGAGCAGGATTCCAGGAGGCACCGCGAAGATTTTCGAGGAGCTCTTCCGCCTTCTCAATAGTTGCCATCTTGGTTGCCATACTTACCTAACAATATTCACCTGGTTAAACATGTCCGGAAAGACATTTTAAATAGAAAGTCATACCTCTGCATAGTTACTATACCCAAGAAGCTTAGCCTTTTCCAACCTAAGCTTCAAAATTTGGTCAATGATTGTTGTGTTATCGAGATCTCCACTACAAGCACGGTTCACATAGGCAAGGTAGACTTCCTCACGTAATGATCGATTTTTAGCATGCTGCATTACAGCCATATAACTTGGTGCATCCAATGTTATTATCCATGGGCCATCCTTGGCAGTAGCATTTCCATGTCCCTGTTAATATATAGGCAGAAACGAAAAATGAAAAGAAAAATTGCTTTCCAACCCACAGTATAGAACCAAAAACAAAGCAACGGTCAATACAAAATACCTTAGACAATGCTGTCTGTGCAGCCAATCCAAGAGCTGAATCTGGCAATCCTTCAATATCTTTCTTATTTGTTATTAATTTTTCAAACTTCTTCGTCGCGTCCAAAACATTCTCTCCAAATTTTTGAGATAGTTTTGCCAATTCCTACACATAAATTTAGGAAAGAGAAAAGGACGATAAACCACAAAGCATCAAAGCTATAGATAACATATTGATCAGGCATGCTATTTAGCATGCAGAAAAATATGTTTTCATGAAAAAAAAATGCCAATGATGAAAGGGTATAGCGATTTTAAAAGGAAAATTAAATCATTCGTCAACTTTCATAAATTCTCCACTAGATGGGGTATGTTATTCGTTAAATCACAATAAAAGTATATTTTCATATTACGTCATCATTTTTACCCTTTCATCTGCTTGATTTGCCTCTGTGACCATTTTGTTGATCAGTGCAATACATTAGTTCGGTCAGAAATGACCTTCAGCGATAACATACTTAAGTAGAGATATTTTTGAGAATCTCATGCACATATGAATTAACCAAACAAGAATAATACATACTTGTTCGATCTTATTGAATTCCTCTCTTTTATCATCTTCAAGGGAAATACCATTCAAAACAGCCTCCTTTATTTGCACTGCATGAGTAGGTCAGTGACAAACAAATGTTAAATTCAAATAAAAATCCAAAAGCTTCAACAAATTACTCTTCGACTAATGAACCACTAATCTTCCATAAACGCAAAATCTAAAAGTTTAGCGATACGTACATTCAACTATCCTTTTACGAGCGTCACTAAGCCCTTCCCAATCTGATGATTCTCTAATAGCTTTAAATGCGTTGTAAAGCGGCTTACTCTGACCTAACTTAAGCTCAAATGCCACTTTTTCCGGCTACAAGACCAAAAACAAACACACATTAGCACCAAAAACCCTCGAAAAATAACACAACGTTCAAAATCAACATTCAATAAAATGTAAACAAACCTGGACTTCTTCTATGGCAGTGCGAAGCTCGGGGTTATCCTTAACGGACTTGAGATGGGACACCGCACCCCACACCACGGACAGCCTATCCTCTATCCTCTCCAGCGGTTCTACTAGCTTTTGCCATGTCGGCTCCACCGTTCTCTCCAGTTCCTCTAGTTCACATTCCTACAATTTCCCAATCCAAATAAACCACAATTCATCAATCCAAATGCAGAAATTACACATATATATAATAAATACTTACGAGTTTTTTGAGCAGTGCGCGAATCCCAGGGCGAACGTGCTTGGCATCGATGGAATCGAACGGCGGAAAATAGAAATCTTTCAACAGAGGATTGTTCTCGGTATCTTCGATTGGGGACGTCATTCTTGTAACAGTTGATGAAGAAATGATCGGACAGTGGCGATTGTATTCAGACGTTTTCTAGGTGACCAGTGAGAGAGTTACAATGAGTGCGAAAAATGGAGGAGAGGTCAGAGGAAAGCAGACGCGGATGCAATTAAGGGAAATGTTTGGGGGTAAAAATGGAAATACAGACGCCGATTAAAAAGTTTTGCGAGCTGAAGAGACATTGGGCTTTTTAGAACTCGATCTTTCGAAATTCGAATGCGATACTTTGGTAAGGCACGTGGAATTAATGTTGGGAAAATTAGGCTGTATCTTTGATTAATACCCTTTATTCTAATTAAATATTTTGATCAAGTTATAATTACGCCATAATCTAAACTATTAACTAAGACTCCAATCCCGCTAAACGCTAAAGTATATGCTAGTCAAATTTCAAGTTCTAAATGCTCTCCCTTCTCTCTAGAATCACCCAAAAATGAATCAAATTTCCGGCGACTCCCGGCCGAGAAAACCGCCGGAATTGGATATCGGTCGACAGCCCCTAACATCCCCTTCAACTACCAACAAACATCATCCAATTCCATCAAGTATTTCAGCCGAAATTAATGCTCAAAGTTCATTGCCCCAACAATCTAAAAAGGGCCGGAATCACCACTTCCAGCCACACCCATGGTCGCGGAACCCTACTGGCCTCTTTCCCACGTTCAAACGATATTATACATGGTGGCAATTCATCCATATCATCTCTCAAACAGGCTGAATTTAATTCTGAAAACTGCCCAGTCGCGAAGCTCGTGATTCCGCCAACAAAGAACTCGATTTTCGGAACCGTCTGGTGCACCCATGGATGCGGACCACTTGGGATAGGTTCGCCTTCACCTGGCACTCCTAGCTCATGTATGGGTCAACACCAATTTTACCCACAACAGCACCAATTTGATCCAGAAATGCAGGCAGTCACGAACTTGCTGGGTGTTTTGTTGGGGTGCTGGGTGTTTTGTTGTTTGGAGCTTTGGGTACCTAGGTTTTTGCATATTTTCTGGGCTTTTGGTTGAAGGTGTTTGCTTCAACTTCATCGTTTGAAGGTGCATGTATTGTGTATCTATTGTTGAAGATAATAGATCAAGGGAAGAGGTTGGATTTTCTTGTGTTGACAGTTGGTGAATTCACGTGATCTTGCATGCCAGATTTTTAGCATTATTTCTTGGGCATAACTTGCAACTTTCTGCGTCTCTTGGTTTGGGGACTGCCACAACTTTTAACTTTTGTCACTATTCTGTATTCATATTTTAAATGTGTAAGGATTATGAAAGT